CACACAAGGGTCTGCTGCTTTTGAAAGTGATCATTGGTTTTATGTTTCCTACCACTTGTAGTCATTGGGCTTACTTTGTTTTTTCTGATCCTGTCTCCCACTTCCTTTTCCTCCTCCTGTTGGGGACAGAACCCAGGGACTGTGCAGGCTAGGCAAGCACTCTGCTACTGAGCTACACTCTAGCCCCTTGTTTCTAATTTCTTAAATACATAGTTAATTTCTTTTCCTCTTTCTTTTCATATCAGCAGTTGTAGGTATACATTTTCTTTAAAATGTATACATTCACAAGCTTTTATGTACATCGCTTAGATTAAAGTATTTACAGTGTTTTTGTTATTCCTGGTTTAAGCTTATACAATATTCTTAAGTGTCTTAATATTCAAACATCTGTTTCTATTTTTATTTTTTTGACACTAGGTCCTTAAAATGCTTTTGGAATTTGCTTTATGGCTCAGGATGTGCTCAGCTTTCATGCATGGTCTCTCTATGCCGAAGGTGAATGTATACCTGGAAGCTGATAGGACATTGCTTGCTGTGTGTCCATTGGGGCAAGCTTGGTTTGTTACAGTCCTCAAGTCTGTTTGCTTTTGGTCTACTTCAGAAGCGAATTAAAATCTAATCTGGGGAAATATTTTTCTATTTCTCTTGTTCTGTCAATCTTTGTCCTATACGTTTTTGGAGTGTGTTTCCATATAAATGTATGTTTAGAATTATGACATCTCGCCGGGCGGTGGTGGCGCACGCCTTTAATCCCAGCACTCGGGAGGCAGAGCCAGGTGCATCTTTGTGAGTTCGAGGCCAGCCTGGTCTACAGAGCGAGATCCAGGAAAGGCGCAAAGCTACACAGAGAAACCCTGTCTTGGAAAAAAAAGAATTATGACATCTCTTTATCCATTGTGTGTGTGTGTTTGACTGCACCGTGGCACATGTGTGGAGATCAGAGGACAGCTTGCAGGACTCAGTTTTCTCCTTCCATCCTGTGGAACCTAGGGAGTGAACTTGGGTCATCACTTTGAGGCAAGCACCTCTACCCACTGATGCATCTCAATAGCTCTACTTTAAAAGCAAATGGAAACAAAAAACAAACTTTCTTCTTTTCTTTTCCTTTCTTTTTTTGAGACAGGGCTGCATGTTTCTAAAACTCAGTATGTAGCTGTGGAGGAGCCTCCCACCTTCACGTCCCAGGTGCTGGGATTCCAGGCATGTCCCCCACACCTGGTTTCTGTGTTGCTAGTGACCATACTCAGGGTTTTATGCATGCTACACACGTATTCCGCCACCTCAGCTGCACCCCCAGCCAATAACCACCCCCTTTTCTTTAAACTGTCACATAGCCTTATGTATGGGGTGTAACTGCCTATTCAGTGTGTGTTTAGATTTAGTACTCACCCAATATGACCCGATATTCTTTTTTTTTTTATTGAATCATCTAGTCTGTTTGTATTTATCTAAGTTGGCAATACTGTATTCATGTCTATTTTATTTTTGTGCTTTGTATCATCCTGTACTTTTTCTCTCTTTTGTCTCACCTTAATTTTGCACCAAATTTCCCCTCCCTCGTTAGTAGTAAAATCTACTACTCTTACTCCTCTCCTGGTTGCTCTGTGAACTTTAACTGTGTCCTTGTGTCATGGTCCAGTCAGCCATGCCTTGCTCTTGAGCTCTACTCCAGCTCCGGCGCTCCATTTGCACATGGAGCGTTTGCTGCTGTGGCAGTGACTTCCTCTTAAGCCTGGTGATGCTGCCATTGTCGCTTTAGCTGTCGAGACTTGGAAACTTTAGACTGCTTGGTAGCGCTTCCCCCCAGGGTCCTTGCACCTAGGCCCTGAGATCCTCCTCACTGCACTGGAAAGACTTCCTGAGGCTTTCCTCTGGGGAGGATCTGATAGCTACGAGGTCTCTGTCTCATCCCCCGGGGCCACTGACTGCAGCCTCTGGTCTTGCTGTGCAGGAGGCAGCAGTCAGGCAGCCATGACTCACTGGAGGGCAGTGTGTTGGGTGGCTTTGTGGTCACCTCTTTGTCGTCTGATGATGTGATTTGGCGTGTATTTCTTTTGTGCTGGTTCCTGTAGGGTTGGTGGACTTGTGGATTGGTGGTTTTCCTTGGTTCTGGGAGGTTCTCAGCCCTTTTCTCTGATTGTTGCCTCCTCCCTGTGCTCCCCACTTACCTCTGCAGTACTGGGTGGATGTGTGGACACGTCAGCCTTTCTTACTAGACACTTCATGTCAGCAGACGACGAAGGAGGTGTGATGGATAGCAGGCCATGTTCCTCTTCGGCAACTGCCTGTTGCTTCATGTGCTGGTATAATCCTTCTAGACCTATTCCTCTTCTCCCTCCTTGCCGCAGGCTTAACTCCCTCTATCGACATCATGTCTGTCTTGCTCAGTCCAGTCCAGGTCTGGTCCAAGTAACTAACTATTGGTGAATGTTGTAATTGACCAAGATGGCATGCTAAAGAATGTATATTTTACTTTGAGTAAGGGGAGGAATCTGGATTACTTTGAGGTTTGTTTGGGAAAGTAGTGCTGCCTGGGAGCCTGAATTAATGTAAGTTTAGCTGGAGATGGATTTGAGGGGGGTTGAAGTGGGCAGAGGAGTGTGTGAGGTTCGAGAGTGGACTCTGTTGGAGGAGGAAGGCACTGTAGAGACCGACTTGGGTTGAATAGGCTATGGACTTGGCCTCTCCTTAACATAGCTCAGTGGGAAGATGGAGAAGACGGCACTTGTGAAGGCCTGTGGATTCAGAATAGGCCTGACACATGGCTGGGGTCTGCATGGCTCTGATCTGCCTACCTTGCCCAGGCACTGCTTTTAGGACATAGGCAGGGAAAGTTGCCTGTGGCCAACTGTCAGCCAAGCAGGCTGACTCTCCCTATGGGACTTGGTGCTGTGACATCTTCATTTCCCTTGAGTGGCTTTATGCAAATGCTGTGGCCTACACTGCCTTAGATTCTGGGCATCATTGAATACTCATGACCTGGAAACTAGGCAGGGCCAAGGTGCCTTGCAGTTCAAGGTCCTTGCTATTTTATTGTCCCATGTCCATCCACTCTTTTCTTGGGTCCCAGGAAGATTTGGTACTGCAGGGTGTCAGTGAAGCAGGGTTGGGAGTGGGAGGGCATTCTAGAGTGAGGTCTGCTGCTTCATATACAACTGGGGTCTCATTTGATGCTGTGGTGGGCTTATGCAGGTGGCAGAACTCCATCATATGGACTCTGACTTCAGGTATAGCCAGAACAGTACAAGTGCTGTATGTATGTGTGTGCACTCAGGTGCAGATAAGAGGGGACATGGGTAGGAAGGCCCAGGGTCTGTGCTCAGGGTCTGCCTTGCTCGTTCTAGACCCAAGCCCCAGGCTGCCAGTCCCTGTGGGAACTGGCCTGCTCCGCTGCAGTACTGCTGGTGCTCAGGAGACACGGCTCTCCATACAATGTTTCCACTAACACTGTGTGTGAGCTGCTGGCTCCTCTGTCACTTGCAGTGGTACTGAGAGACAGGTGGCCCTAAACATAGTATGTGAATGTATCTAGGGTTGAGTTGTCTCTGCTTTGGAGGTGGTGGTTCTAAAGCGAAGGTGGATTTTGTGTATCCTCTAGGGAGGGCAAGGGACACACATGGCCCCTCAGACAGGAACTCCAAGCAGCAGTCCTAGAACTTTCAGACAACTTTCACAGGCCTCTGAGAGCCTGTGCAGGGAGGCAAGTGCCTCAGGAACCCTCTGGTGCTCACAGATTTGGTGGTCCATTCCTACTGTCCCACTAGCCTCTCCTCACCACCCTGTCAGGATTGAGGTTACTCCCCTATAATGTACACTTCGTGTCAAGTGCTGAAGTCTGAAGCAGAGCTTCACCCTGTGGCCCAGTTCCAAGGGCACCGTTGTCAGAGTGGGGACCTGTCTCCAAGGTGTCAGGTTCTTTCTGCATTTATGTCCAGCATGGGTGCACACAGGCTACAGTGAACTCCTAGCCATTAGGTTGGAGCGCCCAGGCAGGGCATGGTTGGATCCCCATGCACCCTTCTCTCTGCAACACCTTTCTACTTCTGGCCTCTAACATCTTACCTCAGGCAGAAGATACCACATTGTCATAGCAGGAGAATCTGAGTTTGACAACTAGCTGTCATAGCTCTTGTTCGTTTCTCTGAAAGGTCCTCAGTTCTGTCCATCCAACACGTGCTTCCTGCAACAGCTTTTGGCAGGGCTGCGCACACATATGCTGAGTTGGCCACCAAAGTGAGCAGTGCAGTGGGCACCTTCAGCTTTTACCAGGACAGTATCGAGCTGGCCAGTGCCTTTGGAAGGTGTCTTGCTGGCAGGAGAGTGCCTGGAGGCCAGAGGCTGTTTTATGCTGAGGAGAGGCTTGACTGGGTCTGGCCTCAGGCAGTGCCTGCTGGTGCCCTGTACACCTTTGTGCTGGAGCCTTGTGGTGATGCCTTTCCACATCCTCAGGGCCCCTCTATCGGGGGTGGGTATACATGTCCTGAACGTCCTTTATTTCTTCAGGACTGTCCTCAGCCCCACTTGCCTTGAGTCTGGGGTGTGCCCTGGCCAGGGCTGGCAGGGGAGCTTTGGCTGTGAAAACCTGCCCATGGTTTAGGCTTCCATGACTTGAATGTCCAGGTGGACTGACATGGACTCTTTCACCCAGCAGCTAGAATGTTGCTGGCCTTGGTCAGGGTCACCTGGGCCGCATGCTTGTTTGCATGCTGCTCTGACCCCTGTTCTTCTTTACACTGTGGTGGGTCTGCCATTCCCTCAGCTCTGCTGGTTTCAGGCCTGGCTCTGGACTCCTTTTGTATTAATTTTTTTTCTTCACACTTTCCAGGTATGGTGGCACACTCCTTTAATCCCAGCACTGGAGAGGTGGAGGCAGGCAGGTCTCTGTGGTGCAAAGCCAGCCTGGTCTACATAGGGAATCCCAGGACAGCCAGAGCTACATAGGAAGACCTTGTTGAATAAAATATAATTTTTTTACATTTATTTATTGTATATGATGTATATGTGTGTAGGCGTGCACGTGACATGGTGCTTATGTGGCGGTTTTGGAAGTCAGTTCTCTCTTTCTGCTCTGCAGGTCTTGGGAATCAAACTGAGGCCCTGAGGCTTGGCAGCAGGTGTCTTTACCCACCGAGCCGTCCAGCTGCCCTGAACTTGCTGTTTTTGTTGTTGTTTGAATTGTTTTGTGTACAGGTGCTTTGCTTGAATGTCCGTGCACCACATGCATGCAGTTCTGTTGTGGAGCAGAAGAGGGTGTCATGTCTCTTGGAACTGGAGTTGAAGACACTTGTGAGCTGTCATGTGGGTGCTGGGGATGGAACCTGGGTCTTCAGGAAGAAGCGGTGGGCGCTCTTTACTGATGAAGACGTTGCTCCAGCCCCTGAACTTACTGTTTTAACCACCAAGTGCCTCCCTTCAGTATGACTGATGGGTTTTCACCCTTTGAAAAACAAAAGATTAACACAGAAGTCGCCATACCCTAACTGCACACTGCTGTCTTCTAGACTTGGCAGGAAGTTCAACCAAAAGTAGCTTGGCTTGATCTATTTATAAATGTAAGACCGATCGAATCTAGGGATAGGGGCCTGCTTGTTTGTGGGTGGTGTTTGCTTTGGCTGCAGAAACAGTGGCAGGAGCTTCAGCAGATTTAGGGGACAGCAGAGGGCTGGGAGATGCTGGACCTGGGGTCACTGTAGCCTGTAGGCCACACAGTATCCTGAATGTTGTTATGAGAATCAGGGACTATGGTACCTGGGCTGGGCTGGGCAAGGCAGGACAGCATTGCCCAGGGACTGTCCTTTGAGACCTGGTGAGGGGAGCTAAGAAGCCCCTTCACTGGAAGGAACATTGGCATGGTGGGAACAGGTGGGAAGGGTGGTTCATTTCCCTGCATGGCTCCTCCAGCAGCCTTTGTTTTGCAGGTTCTCCCTGGTGATAGTGTGGAGACCAGAGCTGGCATCTGCCCACTTGCAGTATCCTGCATAGTTATGCCTTGGGTAGGATCTGAGACTATCTGCTGGGGTAGGGAGGAGTTGGTGCCTCTGTTCTAATTACTCCCATGCACACACCCAGAGAGCATGGAAAGACTGGACAGCTGCTGTATACACTTTGGCTCATCTCTAGTATGTCATGGGAACATTTAGATACTTCTCTGATTGGTGATGGGACATCCTGAGATGGAAAGCTGGGCCCTTACAGGCTCAGGCCTCTGACTTGTAAAGGTTTCTCTCTAGGACTCTGACCTCCAGATAACCAGGACCTGGGAGGTATTCTGAAAACTGCTTTGGGGGAGCACCCTGCACTGAGGGAGAGGGGCTCTGGACAATGGAGAGTCTGCCCACAGAGTCATGTACACAAGAAATTGAAGGGAGCCCCTCCCCATGGCCCACAGAATAGTCCCTGGGGCCAAGGTCCTGGGGGATGAAGGGAGCCCTGCTCTTCTCTGAGCACCTGGCTTTCCTATGACTTGAGAGGTAGCCTGTGCAGTCATCCTTACTTTTCTTTCACTAATTCATGTTTTGTCTCCTGGAAAATACCTTTCCCCTAGGAAAGGGTAGTAGTAACCCCAGGAGAACACTCACCATCTCCCAAGTTCTTCCCAGGCCACAGCATGGACACCCCACTCAGTGTAGACATTCCAGCTGCTGTTATGGAACACTGTGCCTCGGCCCGGTTACCAGCCCACATGATCACCACTACACAGAGGCCTGAGGCAGGGATCTGGCAGGTCAGCAGGAACAGCTGCACCACCAACTGGGGAATGCTGTGCTCTGACACTGCTCAAGGATATGGGGAGGGGTTCTGCTCTGGGGTCATCAACACCACACATGCTCTGCACTTAAAATAGAAGCCCAGGCTGCCTTGCTAAGTGGGATGTGCTCCATTTGGGGGCTCCCTGTTAGGATAGTGCCTGTGATTCCTCCACACCTTTCTGTAGAAAGTGGATTGCCCACAATGCAGGGAAGACAATGTAATTAGATATCCCAATAAAGTTGATTTTGAGCCGGGCGGTGGTGGCGCACGCCCTTAATCCCAGCACTCGGGAGGCAGAGCCAGGCGGATATCTGTGAGTTCGAGGCCAGCCTGGGCTACCAAGTGAGTTCCAGGAAAGGTGCAAAGCTACACAGAGAAACCCTGTCTCTAAAAAACAAAACAACAACAACAACAAAATTTTTAAAAAGTTGATTTTGTTCAGAATTTAAAAAAATGTATGTCTGATTGAATACAAGAGTTCCTTATGAACTTCTTTTTGGCATCTTCAGTTGCTCTAAGGATAATGAATAGAGGTGGGCATTGTTGCTTCTGTTGATATAGAGCTGGCTGGCTTCGGGCATCATTGGACCCACAGACATGCAGTTGGGAGCTTCAGGCATTGCTTAATTTTCTTCACCTGCATTCTCCTGGGGGCAGAGGGAGAGAATGAGATGGAAGCTGCCCCTGGGTCTACCTGTGTTGCTGGTGCATCTGGGCCATCAGTAGCCCTGGTTGGCTGTAATTGGTACTCAGCAAGTGTATCAATCAAAGTGTCAGCTATTGAGCGTGATACATCACAGTTCAAGAGCAAGTAGCCCAAGCAGAGGACTAGATTGGGATAAAGCTTGTAGCTTATGGGGTTCCTGAATATAGCTGGCCATATTGGGTACAGATGCCTTGTGTCACTGTGTCATGGCCTTTAGCCTCGTCCTCTCCTGGCTTCTCTCAGGTCCTGTGTGTCCAGCATGGCACCAGGCAAAAGCCCCAGAACCAAGACCAGCCTACATACAGTTAGTTACGTGCCTATTGCCTCTATCCTGGATACCAGGCTGGCCAATGTTTGAGCTCAATGTCCTCGCTTACAGTGGTAAAGTCAGGGGTCAGAGTCCTAGGCATTCTGAGGGGTTGCTGTGCTGTTAGCCACATGACGTACAACCATCCACAGGGCTTCTCACCAGAGCTCAGTCAGGTCAGTCTTAGGGGACAGCCAGGATGAACACTTGGAGCATAAATAAAACTGAGCAAAATCATTTGAACGTAAAAATCATCCTGATGGTCCATGGTGAGTATTGCCATGTTGTACCATGTCCCACGGAGGAGAGACTGCTAAACTCTTTCAAGCACTGGAGAGGAGCCAGTGTCAGTAAAGGGTGTAGTCACACCTACAGGGAGATTTCAATAGAGAATTGGGAGACTAGCTGGAGCCTAGTGACGCCCAGGTCATTTGTGGGAAGGAACCAAGAGGAAGCTGTGGAGGGCGATGAGATTGGGAAAGTTTGCTACAGCGGTGCTGCATAGGTGAGGCATCACCATCCCACACTCACTCCTTCAGGGCGTTTGCCGATGCTACCAGGCACCCAGGGTCAGGCAGCAGCGTCCCCAGGGCTCTCCAGGTTAAGCTCTCTTCCTCTTGTGGGTCAGAGCCTCAGAGGGGCATCTTGTGCGTGTGTCCCAGGCCTACCTTGGGATATAGTTGGGCCCACTCAAACCTCAGATATTCAATCTTCAAGATGGTTCTGAGATCTGCAGGGCCAACCTTGCCTTGGTTTTCCAGAAGTCCTCCTTTATCTTTTCGTTTATGGCCCAGCAAGATTCACATTTTAATGACATAAAAAAGATAAGTCACTTAGAAAACCAATTTTGCGGGGTGGTGGTGGCGCATGCCTTTAATCCCAGCACTTGGGAGGCAGAGCCAGGTGGATCTCTGTGAGTTCGAGGCCAGCCTGGGCTACAGAGTGAGATCCAGGAAAGGTGCAAAGCTACACAGAGAAACCCTGTCCCGACCGCCCCCCCAAAAATGTGAATCTTAGCACTGAAGGACCAGCACCCCTTGCTGTCCTCTACGAGAGAGTGAGCTCTCACAGGTAGACTTCTTAGGTGGGCTCAGCTGGCCTTCGTTTCTCCTCAGCAAGGCTGTGGCTGCTGCACAGAATAGCTCCCTGACTGTGTTCCTGCCTGCTGGAGTGACTTTCTTGTTCCTGGAGCATGTGCTCCAGTCTCGTGAGTGGAGGCTGTGTGTCAGTGTCCCCCGTACACTTAGAGATCGGCCTTCTGGCTTACCTTTGTTATGGTTTTGAGACGCTGGTAATAAATTTGCCCCTTGATCCGTGTGAGTAATGTACCTTCTCTGTTATTCTAAAGAGCTTTCCTTTCAGTCTGAATAGATAGGATTTATTTATTATTGACATTATTTTTTATTCCCCTTGGCACTCTGTGGCATATGAACATGACTTTCCTTGTTCAGGTTTAAACATTTTTCCCTTTGCTGCTCACTCCCCTCCTGGATGGAGGCTGCCTGGTCACTCCCTTTGGTTTCTGGGCTGCTTCAAGGCCTGCGCCCGGCATCGAGCCCAGGCCAGGCCAGCTGTTTATGTGCAGTTGTTTTTATCTGTCCCCATGGGCTCTGCTTTAGAAGTGCGGTCATTGTTCTCTGGATCCTTAGCCCTGAGCACAGGGGGCACTGCCAGCTGACCCCGTGAGTGTAAGGCTCTCAGCTCTGGGGACATAGTTAGTGGAAGGTCTATGTACTCTCAGCGGCCACACTCAGGGGTTGTCTGTGTGGCTTGAGTAGAGGGTGAGGAGGCAGCTCGGCATTGGAGCCTCCCTAAAAGGAAGCCCGGGCATTTGCTGGGAAGCCTTACTGTGTGGATCCCGTTTTGTGACTGTAACAGCTGAGGCTAGATGTGCAGCGGGGGCACAGGGCCTAGCTAAGTCCTGACTGATGGTAGGGTCTCCAGTACTTCCCTCCACATGAGGCCTCATGGCTCAGCCCAGGACAGATGCAAGGGAATTTATGGCCCTGGAGTGTGAGTCCTCTACTGTATAGTGATTCACCCCATCAGCAACTTACCCCCTCCTCCTATTTCCCAGGGGTTCTAATTAGAAGCAGTTCTAATTCATAACAGTGTCTACCCTGAATGTCTTTCTGCTGTCGGATCAGGAAGAAATACAAGACAACCTCATGGTTCCACTCCCCCTTATTTTCAGGGGACAGGATGCCTGGAGTGTGTGCACTGTTCTGTGTCGTCTGATCCAGTCCCACACCCCACACCTGTGGGCAGGGCAGCACTGCAGTTCCTTACCTCTGTTGACCCATGACTCCTAGCAACACACACACACACACACACACACACACACACACACACACACACACACACACACACACACACACACGGCCTTCCCTGCTCTTAAGGCTTAGTTTGATTCTTGCCCCGCTACTGTTACCTCTTACCCCAGGTACCTTGGTGCTCACTCTTGTCATCAGATAACTGGAGTCACCCCCGCTGTGTCCTCCAGAGATGCCTTGTATCCAGCAGGTGTTGGGTCTGTCTTATATAGGATACTGCCTCGTTGGAGGTGTTCCCATATG